CCTGTATTGGCAGTGAAAGTAAGGATTTCTACTCTTCATTTTTGGAAAAAGACAGTCCTCACTGAAGAGCTTAGGTCTCACACAGACACTGACTGCTCCGATGCTTTCTGGCCTTCCTGTGTCTGTGCAGTCATATTAGATGTGGCTGCAGAGAACAGCTTGACAGGTGTCTCCTGCTGGCAGTGAAGTGGGAAGTCAGAGTCTATACAAGTGAGAAGAGGCCTGTGCAGAGATAAAATGTTCAGTATTGTGAGAGACAAGACAATGGACAGGGCAACTTTGCATTAAGTTTCTGATGCCTGACACATTTAAGTACAATCACAAGGCTTACTTTAGAAACCAAAAGATTCCCTCACACTACTTTATAGCTGCGGCACAGACCAAAACAACACGAAGGGTCAGATGGATAAAGATTCTCATACCTTACCTGGGGACATTCTCCTGGGGGTGGGGATGGGGTAGAGGAGATTAAAAAAACAGGGGGAGGAGGTCTATAATGCCAAATTCTGAAGTAATAGAGGGTTTAGCAAAAAAAAAAAAAAAAAACTGCATTCCATTTAGAAATTTAAGGATCCAAAGAGTATAGTTATGATTCTGTGGGGGTTTATTCAAGGAGAGCTAAGCGTGGTTGTTCCCATGAAATTATTTATACTTTTCAACTTTAAATTTGGGTGAGCATAGCATTTCTAAATCTATTTCTCTTCTCTTCTGTCTTAAAAGTGGGCTCTCATCTTCATCCTGTAGCTGTGCACTTGATTCCTAAGTGTTCCCTCTCAAGGGACCCACTAGAGAGGGTCCAACTCAGGAGGAAAGAGGGGAGCTTTTGATGGTAAGACGAGGGCAGCTGGAATGCTAGCTTCAGGCAGTATTTAGAAGGTATCACTGGAGCTAAAAATCTGAAAAAAATGTATGTGCTATGTAAGCCTAATATAAACCAATGGACCTGAGAAGAATGGGAATCAGAAAAGACATCTAAGTAGGAATATGTTGACTAGAGGGAGGGGCAGAGGGATAGGAAACACATGAAAAAATTAACAGTGTGTTAAATTGGAGGACACACATTTTATCAGGATAATTGTGAGATGTCTCTTTGGAGTGGAATTAGTAAAATAAACCAGTCTCACATTTGTCCTCTAAAAAGTCTTCTCAGTATTCTACTCTGTCCCCAAATGGAATCAGCCTTACCGAAATTCACAACTACTTCTTTTGACATTTTGCAAAAAGTAAATAAATAAATTATAAGTATGACAAATGAAATGAATAGTTCCAGCTGTGATGCACCAGCAGCATTTCCAGATTTTGTCCTGCGTTAAGGATTTATTTTCGCTTTGTTGCCTAGCAGAGAATTAATTGGAAGGTCCCTCTAAGCTTCCTATACATCCTCAGAGTGAAATCAAAACAGAGTCTCCAACCCTCAGTACCAATTTAGAAAAGAAGAAAAACATTAAGTGGAGAGGTAGTGAGCTTATCAACTCTGGAAATCTTGCATCTGGGGACCAATGTTGCTAAAGCCAGACAAAGGAATCATCAAAACTAATGGCATAAGAACATGTGAGTATGAGATTGGCAATGGATTCATGGGATTCATTCACTTAGCAAATATTTACTGAGCTCCTATTATGTGCTACCCATCGTTCCACACACACAGGATATGGAGGAGAACAAGATAAGGGCTCAGCCTTCAGGGAGCTTATGATCTTTTTTTAAAGAGATAGACTGTGAACAAATACACAGATAAAATAATTTCAGAAAGTGAAGAGCACTGTGAAGGAAATAAAACAGAGTAATGGGAGAGAATGCCTTTCAACTTCAGATGAGGGCCAGGAGGTGACATTGGAAATGCACCAATGACACAACTTGGGGAAAAGCACCAATGACACAACTTGGGGAAAAGCCTTCCAACAAGAAGAACTGACAAGACCCTAAAGGCCTTGGCTGGGAGAGAACTCGTCGCATTCAAAGAACAGAGAGATGGTCTAGGAGACCAAAGGGTAGTAAGTAGGAAGGCATCTGGCAGGAGATGGAGCTAGAGAATTAGGCATAAGCTGAGTCCTCTAGGTCCCCTTAGGGCCATGACATAGAATCAGAAAAAGTCAAAAGTGCAGTGAGAATCCATCTGGGGAACTAAATCAAGAAATAATTGGATTGCATGAAAATTATCATGGATATTTAGGATATTACATTTTTTTCTGGATTTTCTGCTAATAATAGCATAAAACCCTAACCATATCCCTAACCTTTTTGAGGAACTTCAGCTTATTTTTCTAGTGAACAAAGAGTTTCACCACTGTGTGTCAGGTACTACGTCAGATGCTGTGTATTGTCTCCTTTAAAACCCCCACCAAACTCATAAGGGAGGCATTATCCACATTTTACAGAGGAGGAAACTGAGGTCTAAATTGAGTATTCATAAACCACTCATCTGCCTTGCTGTGGTGTTCCTGAGTGCATGTCATTGATTTAAGACACTGTGTTTGTGGGCTCACCCAAAGGCATGAAAGACTTTGTCAAAGGGCCACTTCCTGGGAGGCTGTGTCCTGGAGAACCCTTACTGCTGAGAGCCAGGGCACTTAGAGTGATTCTGTGCACCATTTACTATGCGTAGCTTGGAGCTTTTGGAGAACACCAATTGCAGAATACCAAGTCACTACCATAAATTCTGAAATGGACTTGATATATGACCTTGAAGACAAACCACCTGTAAGCTTGTTATCTTTATCTGTTAGACATAATGCTACTTTCTCAATATCTCCTTGGGGTGTCTCAAGGATGACTAGGACTGTTTTAATCCATGTTCTTTATCCTCAGGGTTTGAAATGAGAGCAGGGGTATATAATAAGTGCTATAAACTCCCTTTTAAAAAAGCCACCTAAATACAATATGTTTGATACAACTTGACCAGCGGTATTATTCACTCCCTCAGCCCCAATGTAATGAGCTTTTTAACTAGTATGAATGAGTAGGAGGGAGTCAAAGCTAGCAAGTCCGGGGTGGAAACGGGCCTGGCCTGGGAGGGCTGCTTGTTGGGTTTGCACCTACTTTTGTGCATCACGCATAGTGGAGGGGTGGAGGCTGCCTGGTACAGAATGTCACTGTTCGCTGGCAGAGCCCTGGGTCAGCCCCCTTCTGGAGTCACAGATGGCCGTGACAGGACAGGTGCTGCCACTCCGGCTCCTTCCTGCAGGTTCAGCCTGGATGTAAATACCACCATGCTGTCTCTGGTGCTTGGCGCCCAGGGGACTTCATCCACCTGGGGCAGCCCCTCCGTGGCTGGTGTGAGACAGGCCAGCCGCTCCTTTTTGGCTGACAGATGTGTCCCTCGCCTCTTCTGAAGTTCTTTGACCAGTACAGCAGGTGAAGGGGCTAACCACTGGGTCTCGAATTCCAAGAACGTCCTGTCCACTGGGGGGTGGAAGCCACCTTCTTGAAGGGCTGCCAACCGTTGAGCCCTTGACCCTCCGGAGTCCCTGGGCCACCCCTCCTCCTTCAGTTTTGAGAGCCAGGATGCGGATTCCCTCCATTCGCCCCGTGGGTGTGGCCTTAGGCACCTTAACCGTGGGAGAAACACGCCCAGAGAGCGGAAACCTGAGTCACCGCCAGGCAAAGGGGAGCGTGCGTGCGGCACCACCGCGTGCAGGAGCTCCAGCGCTCCCGCTGACTCAAGGGGTTTATTTTTATGTCGATCTGGGGCTACTTCAGCCTTAGCCGCCGCCTTTAGTTTTCTTCCCAAACTGCAAAAGGTGCTTTAATCGCCCGAGTTTGGCTTAACATGCTTGAAAAGGAAGGGGGGAGTGTGATAAAGAAGGCGCAGTGTCCGTCTGTCGGTCGCACTCGCACACACCACGCGCGCGCGCGCACAGACACGCCGGGCGGCAGCCGGGCCAGGGGAGGGCGGGCGGCGTGCGGGAGGCTCGCGCGGGTGTATACGAGCGTGTACTTGAATGGGGAGGGCCGGGATTCCGGGTGGCTCCGGCCCCGCCTCCCTCCGGAGCCAGCCAGTCCCTCGGCAGAGCGCTCGGGCTGCACTGATTTGCTCTCGGGAGTGCGCTATTTGCATATGACTTGCCCATTTGTGAATCTGGCTCCCAAAGTCCTCGCTTCACTTCACCTGTGCCTCCCTGCTCCGCGCACTTGGCAGGCGCCCGCCGGCCTCTCGGCCACCTCTGCCGCCTGCCGGGCACCTCCTCTCGCGCTCTCCCAGATTTCGCCCACCCACCTCCCTCCGCCCGGTGCAGCGTTGGTTTGGGTGGCTGCTCCGCGCTGGGTTCCTCCTCCTCTCCTCTTTCCCTCCGGTCCTTCTTGTTCTCTTCCTCTGGCTGCGGCCGCTGCTGTTGCTGCTTTGCATCCAGTTGGGAAACCCAGGAAGCAGGCGGCTGCTCCGTGGCGCTTGTCCAGAAAGCTCAGGGTTAACAGCCTCCCTCCGCCGATACTCTCAGGAAGAACTCTTCCACCTGCAGCCCCCTTTGCCTGGCAGTTCTGCATTGCATCGCATGGAAGTGGAAATAGAAAAAGAAAAAAAAAAATGTTCAAACTCTTTGGATGTTGGGATAAACTAACCTGAACCTATTTGGGTTTCCTGCTGCCTCCTCCTCTTCCTTCATTTCCACCTTTCCTCTGTGGCTTTCCGAAGTGTGCAGTTAAGTCATCAGACTCGAGGTGCCTAGACATCAGGAGGAAGCCGCGCCGGTCCTCCCCTGCCATGTGTGACATGCCGGGGCTCCCTAGGAGGTTTGCTATACCTGGGTGGACTCTGGAATTCTGAATTTCAGCCTCGGGAAGGGAGGGTTTTGCCTTTTATCTTTTTTTTTTTTTTAAGTAGTATCTTTTTTTTTTCTTTTATCTGATTCATCATTGTCTTGAAAGTGCTTATTGCTCCCCTCTTTCCAAAATTGGGGCAACTCTTCCTCCTGCTATGATGGGCCCTTGGGCATCATGAACTTCATTATTCCTCACTGGCTGGAATTCAAACTGCCCATCTGTACTGGTCCAGTGCGTTGACCATGCACCTGAGAATCCACGCGAGACGGAGCCCTCCTCGCCGGCCGGCCTGGACGCTTGGGATCTGGTCACTCTTCTGGGGATGTATCGTCAGCTCTGTGTGGAGTTCCTCTAATGTAGCTTCCTCCTCCTCCTCCTCCTCCTCCTCCTCTTCCTCCTCACCGGGGTCTCACTCTCAGCACGAGCACCATTTCCATGGCAGCAAGCATCACTCAGTGCCTATTTCTATCTATCGCTCCCCTGTTTCCCTTCGAGGAGGGCACGGTGGGTCTCTCTGCTCTTTATCCTTTTAATGGGGCATAGCAATTCCTTAACTCACTTGCCTTTCAGGTAGTGCCAAGGGTGGGAAGAGCGAAATTGAATTTAAATGATGAAAAGCATCGCATGCCCGTGAAGGAAGCAAATTTCCACTTTCTCTTAAAAGCTAATAATGTTTCCGCCGGCAGCCCCCTACTTTTCTCTAAAGGGTTCTCCTCTCCTTAGCTCCCTCATTCATGGCTGCACAAACACCACACACTCCCCTTTGCAATCTTCCACTCTCACGCCCCCTGTGAAGGCGGGCAACTTATCAGACGAGTCCCGATGCTGCACTTTGAGAAATCATTCATTCACCTTGCTTTCACCCTTCCTTTCTCTGGTCTTGTTTGGGAGCTAGTCGTGGGGAAGTAGCAGATAGCAAGAATCTTTAGATCTTCAGCCTGAAGTTGATTGAACTACTATAAAGTAGCCTGTGTGGTAAAGGTCAGGGCAGAGTAGCTGAGAGTATAAAAAGGCAGAAAATATAATTAACAACCAGTGGCCATTATTGTTCATTTTGGCAGCTTTATGTCTGACCACATGTCTGGTGGAAAGAGCAGCTGTCGCTAAAACTGTACATCTAATATTGCTAACTACCAGACAGGAAGCATTATGTAAGATAAGGCTAAGTCCATTTATAATTTACACAAGTGTAAATTATAGTAACTTCGATTCCACGATTCCACTGTTGATGCAAGTGTTGTTTCAATTAAAGGTGGCATGGATAGATGTGCTTGTTCACATAATACAGGTATGATATGTTTTGCTCCAAACAGCCCTCCTTGAATAGCTATTGAAGGGGGGATAGATCTGTGGCTCTTAAAAATATTTTCAGCTCTGAGCAGGCTGCCTCTAAAAGGGCGATGTCTGCGACTAAGGTAAAAGCTTGCTGTAGTAAACTATTCTAAAGAAGGAAGCTTCCTTATTTGTTTACTATGCACTGCACTGAGACGGTGAGGAGAGTAGGAAGCACAGAGACAGGGAGACCAGGGAGACCTACTGCAGAGCAGCCCTGGGGGAACAGGAGTGTAAACCCCACAGGGGGGTCCCTGCCCTAGCTCCTGTTTTGAAGACCTATAACATCCAGACCCCGTTCAGAAAGTCATTTCTTCCCACTGCCTCCTAGCTATGGCTTCTGCTCCGACTGTAGTGTTAAGTGGAAGCACATTGAGAAAATGCCAACATACACTATGGATCTTTTGGACTCCCTAAATTTTATTTGATGGAGTTGTCAAACAGCTCACAGCTTGCAGGGTTGGTGGAGGGGGATGGTGGAAAGGAGGGAATGCTTGATCTTGATCTGGTTGCTGTTTTCTCTGTGACTCCTGCAGGGTCTGGCATTGGTTCTCTGAAAAAGAAAAAAAAAAAGAAAGAAAGAAAACAGAGAGAGAGAGAGAGAGAGAAAGAAAGAAACAAAGAAAATGAATAAACCTAGAAGAAAGAGCCACAACCACCAAAAAGCAATTTCACTGAAATTGAAACTGTTAGCTCCTAAGGGGGAGAAGGAGTAGGGGGAGTGGGTGGGAAAGAAAAAGAAGGGAGTGGAAGGTGGGGGAAGCCAGACAGACTATTACTAATAGCCATAATTAAACTTTGAAATGCTCAGTGATAATTAGCTAAATTTTGCTAATTAGTGTAAATGATCAGCCGGGAGAGGAAGATTATGCATTAGTTGGAGGTTACAGGCTGGCAGGGTCTTGATGTTTTCTGTTCAGGATGTGAACAGTTAAAAGCAGCTACTATTAAGTGATGGAATTTGCAGAGCAGTACTTGTCTAGTGTTCTTAAGTGTCTCCATCTCTCTCTCTCTCTCTCTTTCTCTCAGCTAAAGGAGTCGAGCCTTGCACAGGTTAAATGTGATTCTTCTCTGTTTAGTTTATTTCTTCAAGGATCATTTGCTCAGACTCCTCTTAATCTTTTTGACTGGTTCCCAGTTTGGTTTCTCATTAACCTATATCCAATAAGATTCAGTGTGATGGAAAAGAAGAAGAAAGTAAATAAATGGCTAGAGACCCCAGAAAAGGCCATCAGATCCACCAGAGCTGTAGAGTACAGTGAACCCCAGGCTCTGGCATGGCTGAGATAAGAAAGCTCATGAATTCAATTCTTCAGAATCCTCTTTCAATCCTGAAGTCCCAACCTATTGATTTGGGACTTGGAGAGTGAATGCATCTATATTAAGTAGGCTCCTTGCATATTTAATTAATGTTTTGGAGCCTGAAATCAAAAGAAGCAGCAATCAACAAAATGCCCCAACCTCTGGCTCCCATCCTACATCCAAGCTGTGACCTTTTGCATCTCTAACTAAGAGGACCAGAAGACCCCACAGAGCTTTGCTAATGCACCTCTCATTCTTACTTGGATTACACTTGCTTTAACCCTAGTCAGAGACGAAGGCCCAGCTAACGGCAATTGTTTTAAAAAATCTTTTGGGTGGAGGTGTAGGAGGCAGAGCATTGTGAGACTGATGGTTATTACCAATGGTTTACTGCCAACCTTATTCCAGAGTTAAAGGCAAGGCTCTCTGTGTCGTCTGTGGAAGAAAGAAATGCCCTTCATTTTAGTATAAAGCAAATCTAGAGTCTTGAGTCCAAGAACCTTCTTTGGACTCAGGAGAGAATTTTGTTTTTGAACTACTCTTGTTCCCCTTGCCCATTTCCTGAGAAGCCAAAGTCCTCAGAGCTGCTGTTAACCAGCTGTTGCCCACACTCCCCTTTCGCCACTTTCCAGCTCTGTAGTGGATTCACACTAAGCCAGATGTAAGAAACAGAAATTCTCCAAACAGCTGCTATTTTACCCACACATTTACTCATGCTTGGCTCCAATCTTCAGAAAATCGATTGTTATAGATTTGCCTAAAGTCTGTATTCCAGGGCAGGTTAGAGGATGCTGAACTCTTTTGTGAATTGGGGAGATGAGGACCACACCTATCTGGGGTACCCCAGACAGTCTCAGGTGAGGATTGTGTTTCAGGGTAGAATTAATCCTTTTCTTAGTGTGAATGTAATAGTCTTTCCCCTGTTGTTCAGTTTCTTCTTTTAGGGTCCTCACACCTCATTCATGCTCTCTTCTGTTCAGCAACCATTCAATTAACACTTCTTAAGCTCTTGCTATATGCCAGGCTGTGTGCTTCGCCTAAGGATATAGAACTAAATAAGACATTGTGATGTTCAGCTAGTGATAATTTCAGAAGTATTTTGATTACTATGAAAGATAAGAGCCCCTATATTTTAAAAAGTGCAGGGAGTGGGTGGGTATTCCAAATACCAAGGCAAATTAATTAATATAAAACCTAAATGTCCTTTATAAAATGCAGATTTACATTCTCCTGTTATTCAAGATATCCCTCCAGGTTTTCTTTTTTTTTTCATCCTCAGCTCTATTTCTGTACTTAAATATCATGTTTATCAAAGCACTAGGTAGTTTAGCAGTAAAGGATATATAAATAGTAAAATATATTTGTTTGCCAACCTTCAGTTTCATAAGGGAGTTTGTATATTTTTTCTTTTTTTTTCCCCTCTCTCACCTTTAACAACTCCAGTGCACATCTTCCTGGAAAAATGCTTTAATGTTTATAGTTTAGAAACAGGGTTCTCTAAGGATTCTAAGTTTTATGTGTACCTTACATTTTATCCTCTGCAAAAGAGCAGATCTTCCTGACTTTTTAGACTTTGGGGGAACTGAGGACATAGAACTCTTGGGAAGCTAAAGTTTAAAAGGGAACATATCACAATATATCTCACAAGAGACCAGGGTGGTCTCTTGCTCAGAAACCAGGGTGTGTATGTGTAGGGGGCCACATAAGTCCTATTCAAACCATCTTAGCAGAGGTGGTCATAGTGGCCCCCTGGTGACACATGAGCCAGGGATCTTTCTTGGAAGAAATTCTGCTACACATTCATTGTCACAGAGACCCGCCTCTGAAATTTTTCTAGCCAGGGGCTTGTTTTGCTTTGATCTGTTGAGCACAGTCTTCTGCTCAGCCAGCTGCTTTCTAACCACTTTCTCTCTGCCTGCCTTCTTGAGATTCAGTGAGCTGAATAATTCATAGTGTTGGTTGACAGATAAAATGATAAGATTTATATGTCTTTGGCCTAGGTGATGAATTGATTAAATTGGATTCTCTTTTCTCTCCTCTAGATGCATTGTTTTTCTTCTCTAAAGTTTGCTGGCAATTGGTAGGTCTGGAGATTAACTTGTTTTTTGAAAGACCACCACGGGACAATGATGATATCCTAGTGTAAATTTCTTCAGGACTTTCAGCATAGGTCACTGGATGGCACAGAGGTGAGGGTGAGGGCTGCTGTATTATAGAGAGATGAGATGAGATAATCTAGGACCCTGAGTGACCTAAGAGGCAAATCTCTGAAGATAAACCTTGAACTTATTCATACTTCCCTCCTTACATTAGTTTGCTAGGATTGCCACATCAGAATACCACAGACTGGGTGGCGTAAACAACAGAGATTTATTTTCTCAGGACTCTGGAGGCTAGAAGTCCAACATCAAGGTGTCAGCAGGTTTCAGGTTGGGCTTCTTTGGAGGCCTCTCTCCTTGGCTTGCAGATGGCCATTTTCTTGCCTGTCTTTATGTATTCTCTCCTCTTTGTGCATGCGTTGCCTGTGTCTCTTTGTGTGTCCAAATTTTCTCTTCTTGTAAGGACACTCATCAGATCGGATGTTTGCCCTCCCTAAAAGCCTCATTTTAACTTAATCACCTCTGTAAAAGCCCTGCCTCCAAATACACTCACATTCCGAGGTACCTGGAATGAGGGCTTCAACATAAGAATTCTGAGGGGACACAATTCAGCCCTTAACACTCCTTCTCCTCCCCCAGGGCCCAGTTATTGGGAGACAAGTAAAGCTGTACTGTTCAGGGAATCCCTGCGGAACTCAAACTTCCACAATGGGAAAATAAAACCTCAGTGACAATGGGAGCGGTTTACAAAACAGATAAGATGGTGCCTCAAGAG